TGTGTGTGTGTGTGTGTGTGTGTGTGACTGTGACTGTGAAACTACACCCAATGTGCATGTTGTGTATTTCTTCTTTCATAACTCTCTGTTTCTCTTACGCCTCCACAGCTCATAGTAAAGATGTGCATGTATCAAATGATCCGTCTTCGGTTATTGTGGCCACACATATCACAGTAAACAGTATTATAACTGTCATAAAACTCTCCTTTAATACAACAATATTACTTAAAACTGTGATCGCTGTGGATTTAATCAAAGCTAACAAGTTGAACTGTGAGCTGCATATTGAAGCTTTGTTGGACTCGGCAATCAAACACAATTAGACTGAGGTTGAAGACCGCTAAAATGATTTTAAATGCACCACTTGTGAATGAGATCTATACCAATTTGGTTTCAGTGTTATTCGCTGAGCCAAAAATTCCAGCGCATTCTCGAACACTACTCACTTTATTTTTAACATTTCAGTCTTTTTAAGGTTGATTAAATAAAAGGAACATTGCATCAACACTTAAAAAAAAGGCTAATTTTCTATTAATCTATTTATTGTCGAAGTAAATGCTTGTTCTTATCCAGTCCAGCCCTGATAAACCAGCTGCACTTCAGCTGGTCGACCAGTTGGTATGCAAATAGCGAGATCTAGAGTTAGACAGACAAAAGGCCTGCTCTTCTGGTGTGGCAGCGACTGCTGTGTCTTTCTTTGACTGGTAAAAAAAGGCGCTCGGCTGTGGCTAATGGCAGAAGCAATGTGCTGTGTAAACAGTGTCTTCTGAAAACAGCGATAATCACGGTACTAGAAATTAGTGGTGGTGTTTTCCTCAGAATGTGGTGTTTAGTAGAACGGGTAAAATGGGACATCTCTAGTCTGTTGTGTCCCTCCTGGTTTCACATGTATTTTCTTCCCTTCACTGACTAATTAACACAGAAATGGTCACTTTTGTCCCTCTTGTCACATTTTAGCTTAATTTAGTACCACTGTTTGTCCTATCAGAGGAAAGACTAACAAGCTCATGCTTTACAAGTACACAAACATTCACATGCTTCATGTAAGGAATAATGTGATGGTCTCTGTAAAGTGACATTTAGGTAAGACAAAAACAAATCATAGTTTAAAGAGAAGCCAGAAAACTGAACAGGGTCTACTATTTAGCACTAACTATCTCCATGAAGGATCAGAACTGGTTCTGCAACTTAAAAGTCATTTTCTCTGTTTATAGAGTATAATTAACTAATCTCATTATCTGTAATTAACACGTTCCATCATTATGACAACTATTTGTGTAATAAACAGCAACATACATGAATGAGATGAGGTCTGCAGGCAGTTGAATTCATTTCATTCCTCTGTTGTTTTATTGAAATAATGACTTGACTTCTGGTCAGTGAACAGACGGATAATTAGTGAACATTGTGACGGCATCTGTCCTGCTCTGTCTAAAGATAACCCCCCCCCCACACACACACACACGTATTGGTAGATCACTCTGATGTGAGGAAGATTAGAAAACATCTAAAAGACTGTGAAATAGAAGATAAAGGCTTGAGGGTTAGAAAGATCATATTTCTGGAAAAAAAATGAATAAGTAATGAGGGAAGTCTTACAAAATCTTTCAAGGTTACATTTTAAACTTTTCCAAAATACATAACTTCAACAAGTCTGATAAAGTAACATGAACATTCTTTTTTACATACAATACCAAGCACGTGAGCAATGAGGAATTTAAGGACAGTCCAACATCACATCTTGTTATTTCTCACACATCTACGCTGTGCACTTTCTGTATATGATGAAACTGAGAAGCGGATGGAGAGCATCCTTTATGCTACATAAGATGAAAGATTAGACACGGCTGTGGATGTGTGAGGCAGGAGTTGCTCAGGGACGTCCCCAGGCCACAGAATCTCTCTGCACCTACAGTTTGCTACATGGCTTGTTTGAGGTAGAGCTCTGCCTCCGGTGGTACTAGTGTGGTGGGGCTAAATCGAGATCACTGACTGCAGTTCCTATATTTTACAAAGTCAGAGCATGCATGCAGTTAGAACAGAACTTGATATGATAAACTCCTGTGATTGATGAGTCTCGTTCAGTATATATTAGTAAACTAGCCTGGTTTCACAGACTTCCACACAACGACAGGTGCAGTATAAATGTATGAATATGAATGGCATTGATAAGCACCGGTGGTTTACTCAATGCATCACGGACCTTGATGGTTGAACCATTTGCAACTCTTGAAATGAAGAGTTTTCTCTGCTCTTAAAATGGCGTGTGTGTGTGTGTGTGTGTGTGTGTGTGTGTGTGTGTGTGTG